GCTGGATCGGGCTGTGATAGTATTTATTGATGATATCTTGGTTTATTCCAAGACTCCGGAGCAGCATGAGGAGCACTTGAGGGAAGTGCTGGAGACATTGAGGAGGGAAAGACTTTTCGCAAAGTTCTCCAAGTATGAGTTTTCGTTGCGTGAGGTACAGTTTCTGGGGCACCTTCCGAGGTCTCCATATGAGATTCGTAGTTTTCTTGGTTTTGCGGGTTATTATCGGAGATTCGTCCAGGATTTCTCCAAGATAGTTGTTCCTTTGACCCGACTGACAAAGAAGACGGTTACATTTCGTTGGGGGCCTGAGCAGCAGGTAGCTTTTGAGACTCTTAGATAGCGGTTGTGTGAGGCGCCGATTTTGACCCTGTCGGAGGGTGTCAATGATTTTGTGGTTTATTGTGATTCTTCGATCTCTGGATTAGGGGCAGTGTTGGTGCAGAGGGGTCGCGCGATCGCCTCCGCCTCGAGGCAGCTGAAGCCTCATGAGGCAAATTATGCGACGCATGACTTGGAGTTGGGGTCCGTGGTTTTTTCCCTCAATATTTGGCGGTATTACCTCTACGGGGTTCGTTGTAATATTTACACGAATCACAAGATCCTGAGGTATTTGATGGATCAGCCGAATCTAAATACGCGACAACGCCTTTGGTTGAATGTGGTGAAGGACTATGATTGCAAAATCCTTTATCACCCGGGAAAGGCCAATGTAATGGTTGATGCTATTAGCCGCAAGGCGGTCACGACTCCGATCAGGGACATATGCTTGAGGATGACCGTGATTACTCCATTATTGAAGCGGATTCGGGAGGCACGGGTTGAGGCTATAAAGGAAGAGCACCGGAAAAGCGAGCATATTGTGGATCAGGTGGCTTCCTTGAATTATGATAGCCACGGTTTGTTGACTCTGCATCAACGAGTCTGGGTTCCGTACTGGGGCGGTGTGCGCCAAATTCTGATGGAGGAAGCTCACAAGTTGAGGTTCTCCATCCATCCTGGGGTGACGAAGATGTATAGGGATCTTCGTCCTGATTATTGATGGCCCTGCTTGAAGCGGGATGTGGCATGGTACGTGGAGCAATGCTTGACCTGCAGGAAGGTCAAGCCGAACATCAGCGTCCTCACGACAAGATGCAGCCGTTGGAGATTCCCGTATGGAAATGGGATGACATCACCATGGATTTTATCACGAAGCTTCCCAGGATTGCGCGTGGAGTAGATTCGATATGGGGCATTGTGGATCGTTTATATCAAGGAGGTGGTGGCACGTCATGGGGTGTCGGTATCAGTGGTTTCTGACAATGATGTCCGGTTCACTTCCAGGTTTTGGAAGAGATTTCTTGACGAGTTGGGCACTCGTCTTCATTTCAGTATAGCATTCATCCACAAACCGATGGTCAGAACAAGCGGACCATTCAGACCCTCGAGGATATGTTGTGTGCTTGTGTGTTGGACTTTGGTGGGAGTTTGGATACGTATCTTCCGTTAGCGGAATTTTCGTAGAACAACAGTTATCATGATAACATTGATCGACCTCCTTTTGAGATGCTCTATGGGAGGAAATGCAGGACCCCAATTTTTTGGGGCGAGGTCGGTCAAGGGGTTATGGTGAGTACCGGGGTGGTACTCAAGACCACTGAGCTTATTAAGCAGGTTCGGAGCAGGCTCCAGACAGCTCAGAGTCGGCAGAAGAGTTATGTCGACAAGCGCCAGTCAGACTTAGAGTTCCAGGTGGTAGATATGGTTCTCCAGAAGGTGTCACCTTGGAAAGGTGTCATCCGATTCAGGAAGCGGAGCAAGCTGGGCCCCAGGTATATTGGTCCCTTCTGGGTTTTGGCCCGGGTGGGTCGGGTTGCGTATCGTTTTGATCTTCCAGCCGAGCGCAGTCAGATTTATAGCACATTTCATGTCTCTCAGTTGCGGAAGTACCTGGTAGATGATTACGCAATGGTGCCATTGGATGATATTCAGGTGGATGACCGCCTGAATTATAATGAGAGACCGGTGGCGATTCTGGATCGAAAAACGAAAACCTTGAGGAACAAGGTAGTTGAGTTGGTGAAGGTGCAAGGGCAGCACCACAAGGGTTCAGAGTGGACTTGGGAGGCAGAAGATGAGATGAGGGAGCATTACCCAGAGTTATTTGGAGCAGCATACTTCGAGTATGAAGTCTGATTCAAGTGGGGGAGAATTTTAATGCTTGGACCCTGGTATATACCTTATGTCCCTTGTATTTTTGGAATTGTGCATTTTAGTCCCTGAAATAGTACGCCGGGAGTACCACTTGGTATGTTTAGCGTACTAGCTGTAAAGCCGGTACGCCCCGGGGCGTACCACTTGGTACGCTTAGCATATTGAGTTGATGGTGAGTCGGGACCCAGGTCACGTATGTTGGGCGTACGTATGCGTACGCTAGGCGTACGTGGACTTTAATGAAACCCTAGTCAAGGGTTTTACACCCTATATAAACATCCTTATTCATTAGGGTTGGCCTCCTTACCAGCCTCTAAAGCCCTAAAACCCTAGAAACGAGTCTTAGCCTCCATTGTTGAGTGTTTGAGCCCATGAACAGAATTTGGTGTTCATTTTGTGCATTTTTAAGGAGTTGGAGGAACTTGAAGTTGCTTAGCTTGGAGAGAAGGTCTTGGATCCAGAATCGCCACCCTTTTTGCAAAGCTTTTAAGGTATCAAGTTCTCATCTTGACTCCTAGTTCTTAGATCTCATTTTGGGATGATTTGTCATGCTTTTGGCCATTTTTAGGTGGATTGTTGACTTAAGACGTCCTAAGGACTTATCCTTTTAAATCTAGGTTTATCATGGGCTCCTTAAGCATAAAGGTCCCAACTTTATGGAGAATAGGGCCTCATACATGCATTAAGTCACTTATTAAGTCCTTGTTGAGCTTAAGTGCTTTATTTAGCCATGCATGGACGTACAGTTAGCAACTTTACGTGGTAATCCAGCTTAAGGAAGTCAGATCTACATTCCGGAGTGAAGTCTTAATGGGTTAAGAGCTGAAATTAGAAGGTGGATAAACTGGAAGAGTACGCTGGGCGTACAAGCCTGTATGCGCAACGTACAAGCCTTTGAGCTAGTACGCTTAGCGTACAAGTTGAATACGCCCTGCATACTCAGTCAGGTGGCTTTGTGATTTTGGGCTTTGAATTTGGGCCACGTTTTAGGCTTAGAAGGTTGGGGTTTAGTTAGGCCATATAAATTTGGGAGTTTTTGGGCCAGGAACATTAATTGGCCTTGGGTTAAGGCCCATAAGAAGGGATTGGACACAATTGGAAATTGGGACATAATTGGGCCTTGGTGGATTATTTGAAATTTGGGCTTTTTAGATTGTGAGATTGGGCCTTAGTCTTGGACCAATCTAGGTTCGGGGTAAAATGGTATTTTTACCCCAACTATGGATTTTTGGTTATGATTGGAACCCAAATGTTAATTGGATTTTATATGATATTGATATCTCAGGGATTTGTTGAACCAGCAGGCAGGGATTAACCGTTTGATTTAGTAGTGCTAGGTGAGTTTCCTCACTAGGTTTAGCGGGCTGAAGGTACCAATATGGGCCCATGTTTATGTTATGCTAGTATGCTAGCTGTCTGTGTGACTCTTGCATGTGTTATGTGCTTATATACTTACCGGGCAGGGCCCGATGCCAGGCGAGGCCCGATGACCATTTTGTATCTTTGTGATTATTACATGTGTATATGTTTACTTGATATCTGTTATATGTATGATGGGCGGGGCCCGATCTGTTACCGAGCGGGGCTCGATGCCGGGCGGGGCCCATTATGTGTTATTAAGTATGGTATGTGGTATTTTGGGGAACTCACTAAGCTTTGTGCTTACGGTTTTCAGCTTATGTTTCATATACTTCCGGTTCCAAGGGGAAGAGCTTGGGTTGACTGCATCGCACACACCACATGGATTCTGCTTTTGAGATATCACACTGAGTGTTATGATGTTGAGATACTTATTTTCATTCGAGTTGTAAGGATAATGTTTTTGGAATACTGTTTTATTTAAATTAAAAATGAAAATTTTGGATCATATTTTTGGGACGTTATACGAGTTTAGGCCCATACACATTTACTACAGCTATTGTACCATCAATTGACGGGAAAGTTCCAAAGGTTTCTAGAATATGCCTGGACTTGATCATTTCACCAATTTTAAAGAAACTAGGGTCCCATATTGTGAGCAAGCCACGCGATCTCCAGTAGCATTGACAAATTTGAATATGTAATTTTCATTACCCCAACACCTTGAAATATTTAACGAGTTTTGGAGCTCACCTAAATGAGTTTCTTGAATCGCCATAAGACCTAGTCTTTGGGTCCTCCTTCATCTGCAGACCCAATCAACTTTATGATTCTCTCCTATCCCCTGAATATTTGGGGTCATTAAATTCATTGTAGAGCTGGGATCTCGTCGATTTCATTCATCACCTCCATGAGGATAGGATCACCATCATCAATTTCGAAGCCTAGAATCTGTCCAATCTCCACCATTTTTTGTGCTTCATCCATTGGCGATCGAACTTCAGGGGATCCATGGGGTTCAGGTAGTGGGTTTCGATCATGGCTTGTATCATCATGACAATTGAGATCGAACGCCATTTGATTTGGGGGTATATCTGTGACCAGAGATTTGTGAATTATCCTACATTTATCTAAAGTACCACCTACTTAATACATTGGTTCCAGGCTATGATCATTAACTGGTTCCACTAAAAAGGATGGCCCATTAGGCATGGATGGATCACACCCCAAAGGATGGCCCATTAGGCATAGAGGCCAAGTTTCCAATCGATCCAAATGACCCATCCACTTTACTTATTGGGGTTGGTTGAGTCTCACCAGTTTGGGTATGAAATCCTTTCCCGTGATAATCATCATAATTTATTAACTCCATGTTCCCATGCCAATTATTGCTTACTACCGATCGTTGAATTTCCCTATGCGACTGTTGGACTTCACCAGGATCATCATCTTCCACACCTGTGTCTGGTACCGACGCTTACACCGTTGTCGGAATGACATCTGCACTGGCAGCCTCGTTTTTTTGCCTCTGACTCATTAGCCAAATTTGTCTCTGATATCCCTTCCTCATTGCCATCATTTATGTCGTTGATTTCACCTTCTTCCAGCATATTATTGTCTATATTACTCACTATGTCTACATCCTCTTCGGCCTCATAGATTTCTAACGTGTCGACCGCACCAGATGAAAAAGGGGACCAATCGTAATTACTTTCCATCACACCCACGTTGAAAATTTTCCAGTTTATTTCCACCACTACTTCATCATTGATTCTTTTTTTGTTTTCTGTCAAGATGCCGATGTTCCCTAGGGACATGTCCTGTATACTTGGCAGAATCTCAACTGGCTCTATCACGTTACCGAATTCATTGGCAATTCTAGATAAGTTTTCTTCATTCCAGAGGTTCACTGGGAGGCCAAAAATTTTTAACCAAGCTATTCTATCAAAAACTCCTTCCATTGTGTTTCCCGTCTTGAAGTCTTTGAATCATGTACCCCAGTAGTTTTTATTTGATAAAAATTCCTCAACATCAGGCACAAAATGGAAGCGTATCCCCCCATTAATCATCCAAAGTACTTCATTCCATATGCATGCTTGACTCCCATTCTAAAACTAAGTGGTACTTTTCTTAGTTTCTCCAAGTTGTGTGCTTCTATGACTAAGGTTAAGGGGCTATGTAACCATTCCGCCATAATTTATATACAAATTATAAATACCGAAGTAACGATGTAGGAACAGTCTTGGTTAGTGAAACCTGATGGACTTGGTGTAAACTCAAAAACTTTGGTTGACTCTAAACTTATATTGGAATGGGTCAACCGCTCAATATTTAAAACTTACATCTTTGAAATATTGTATGTAGTATTTGTTACTGCATGGTGTCGGGCCATTTATTAGTGTAGGTCAAACTCTTATTGTATAATATATTAATATTGGAGAGTTAATGAGAAAATGAGGGACAGGGAGATTATTAAAATCAACAATATTTAAATTATATTACTTTTGGACTGAATCATGAACTGTTTGATAAAATTACTTGGCAACTAGAAACGATAAGATATTAACTCGTAGCTGAAAGTTATAGTTTTATTTATATATCAGTTTTTAAAAATAGAAAAGTAATAAGATTTTGAAATATATAAATTACATAAAATCAAAAAGCTAAAAACTTTTAAAAACTAAATCCGTCAAAAACTACTTGAAATTTGAAACAAATTTGGATTATTGATGTTTTGTTAAAAATAAAAAAATATAAAAAATTATACTGACGAATGAAGTCTTTCTCAGTTCAAAATTCAAAAACTAAAAAATTTGGAAACTATGAGAAGCCGTTGCAAACACACTCTAAATCTCTGCTTACCAGAATTGCATCACAAACTTCAAATCTCAAATTTGAAGTTTATTAATAACTTTGTGCGATTAATAGAGTTGCTAAGTACCTTATATCTCTAATAGCTCATCCTCTAAACCAAAGGTCTTCAGATGAGATATCTCATATTAGTAGCTTTAAATCAATGGTTTAAAGACCAAAGGTCTAAAACCAATAGACACTTCTCATACTCTTCTGACATATATCACCCGATTGAATTTATATTAATTTGGTGATTTGTTGTAACTTCCCAAAAATTACAAAGAGAATTTTTATTTTTAAAAAAGATTAACCAATTAAACCTTTGTTTCACAAACCATTGACTAACATTTGGTTGATTGAAAAACCATACATTATCAGAGTTAAGTTTACAAAAACCGCGGAAACGAATATCTTTGATGTGTGTGTACAGTCCCGCCGAGCTCTTCTCACGAATGTCCTACAAAATGCTCAATCCACAACTATAAGCATAAAGCTTAGTGAGTTCCTCAGTATACCACATATTTCACTATACATACAATGCATCTACATAAAGTCATCGGCTCTAGCGTAGACCTGCCAATACTCCAATCTATACGCATACAAACATAGATAACAACCATGCATGCCAAAACCTATCATGTGAATGATGTGTTCCACCCATAATCTTACAATTACTTTCGGATTATTTCAGCCAACGGGCATATTTCATCCCAAGTGAATTCTACGAGCGATATCATAGTCTTATAAAACTCGTGCAAATTGCCATTGGCGAAATCCTGATCTTACATACAAGTGTTTGGGCCAGATCCTGGTTTTTTGTGACAACTCGTTACTTTCCAAGTCAACAAAAGTCAAATCTGATAAATAAAATTCGAGTTTTTATTTATTTCTTAAGTTCGTAAAGGTTAGAAAATAATTTAAATTATATAAATAAAGTTTATATAAGTTTATATAAGTTTTCGGAATAAAACACACTCGAAAAACCAAGATTTTTCCCTCGAAACCGCAAAACCTCGTTATAGCAAACTGTTTTCGGCCGAAAAAATTTGGACCGAAACCAGATTTCGGCCGAGAACCCTTTTCCGGCCAAAAACCCAACCGTATATAAGTTTTTCTTTCGAAAACTTGATCATTTCTCACATTTTTCACTCGAAAATACTCTCATTTTGCTCCTAAGGATTATCCAAGAACATTCAAACCTTCAAGTCAAAACCTTAAAATCTTTATATTTTCACCAAAAACACCAAGAACATCCTTCAAATCTTCAAGTGACCGAAAACAGCCCAAGACCGCAAACTGTGTTCAGCTGAGAACCGTTTTCGGCCGAGATCCCCTAGAATCGAAAACTCCTCAACACTTGTGCAATTCTCGGTAATTACCCTCAACACAAAGTGTTTTCTAACACTTTAATTAATGGTTTTGCTAATTTAAATACAATCATGTGTTTAAATATTATTAGGATACCGTTAGTTCCGCGTACGCCAACTTGAGGGTCATTTCTACAGTCCGTTATCCAGTTACGAGCACATACTAAATGTAAGTTCATACCCCTATATTTTACTGTTTTCAATGTTTTTAAGGGGGGTGGGGGGAATACAAGTAAACACAAGGATTTCTGTGTTTTATCCAAATGATTTCAAACAGCTTCAAAACCTTAGCAATTGATTCAAACAGAGAATTCACTACAATCTACAAAATTATTTATATATTTTAACCCTTTTTGTACCATGTCGAGCATAAGGGTGTTTTTCCTTCATACAACTAAATTGAAAAAGTTTTCAATACAGTACAGAACATACAATTAAACTATGATTTGTATAGTTGAGAACACTACATTACTTTTACTGAGTTCAATACACGAAACAAGAACATTCATACAAACTATAATAGGTATAGTTTGGGGATACATTACACTATTTTACTAGTTCAAGAACATTATTCAAAAACTAACATATAAACTATGGTAGATATAGTTTATGGAACATTACACTATTTTTCCGGATACAAGGAAACCTTACTAAATAATTATTTAAGTATAATTATTTTACAGTACAAGTACTTTACTACAAGGTTATACATATATATTCAAGTATAAGAGAACATTACAACACTACACGTAAACTAGTTAATGCAGGGTTGTGAGACACTACTTCATTGTACCCGTCAGGGTACAGGGCTAAATCCTATACAATATAACCAGAATCTCCTGGAGGGAGAGCGTGAATTTGTGTATAGATCTATACGTGACTGACAATCCCGCACCTAAACTGTTAGCTACAGTTAGGCCGACAGGCCTGGGGTGACAAATGTCATAACGTTACCGACGCCTGAAGAACGTCGTAGAGGTCACTAGTCATATCAAGCATGGTTATACGAAACTCACAACAGTATAAACTAAAACATTTGTTTACGGGATTTCATTTCTTCAAACGGTTTTATTTTAAATAATAAAGCTACACTACATTACAACTGGAGGATTCCAGGTATTACAAACCAACGATTTTATTTTAATTAATCAAACTATAGTACACTACTATACATTACTACTGGTGGTATCCAGGGATTCATACACAGATTTTCATACAATACACTATTATACATACAATTGGTAGTATCCAGAAATTCATACAAAGGTTTTCATACAAGGGTTTCATAACAAACACTACTTTGTTATACTATTACAAAATACAGTAACAAACGTACATTTTGGTCTTAAGGCCTAAGACTACTTTTCACTACTAAAGAAAATATTGGATTTTCTTGAGGAACACATACACACATTTTTCAAAGATCAATGACAAGTTTCCATTACAAAAACATACTTATGAACTCACCAACTTAAATCTTGATACACTTTCAAAACCACTTGTATTCTCAGGGAACCGTTAGACAGGTACACCCGCAGGTTTTGAGAAGACGGAGCTTTTAGAGTCGCGTCTTTTATACTTTTGTTATACATTTTTGATGTCATACAAACTATGTATTGAACAGATGTAAATACTATATTCAATCAATGTAATGGTTGTGTTTGCTTTGATTACTATTATGCAATTGTTGTGATACTGTACATGACGTCCTCCACCCCCGAACGTTTCCGCCGTTCCGGTTTGGGGTGTGACATTTTTCATACATTTCATAAAGTCATATGAAGTAAGACGTCATATAGAAAGTTGAACAGATGATCCACCAGAGATCGAACAATCAGACAAGAACATTGCAATAAGGCATTAAACCAAGAGTTCTCAGGCTATCAAAATTAGCCTACATAAAACCAATTCTAACATTACCACATAATCTTGTAACATAAGCACATAACATATACTAGCATATTACATACCCTTGGCAACTAGTCTTCCCTAGTTACCTTGCCATTGACCACCTCTCAATTAAGTCATTCGCTGGTTAATCATACATAATCTTGATAAATGGCCTTCCCCTGTTACCGTAAGAAAACATAACTCCTAATAGTATCATACAATCAACAGACAAGCTCTACCTGGTCTAACATACCATGAAACCAAGTGTTCTACACTATACATGTATAATAAGGAGTTATCCTATTCAAATAGCATACTTGTACACTAACAGTACATCTATCCTACCATGCAAAGTATATACAATGGGATACGTTGCATAGTGAGAAACTCACCTGAACTAAAGAACTAAATAAGCACAAAAAACTCTCACACCTTGTATTTCTCAATCCTGCAAATTGACTAACATCAAAAGAGATGAATCATCAATAAACAACCCAAATCCTCCAAGTTTGATCCCAATTCAAACTGGTCAAAAGTCAATGGTCTACCAAGTCAATAGACACCACAACATGGAGACCTCTTGGCCACATTGTGGACATGACAAAACAAAATAGATGACATTGAGGACATCGTCACGTTGTGGGCCCTCCTTGGCCATGTCCTGCGAATATGAAGACAACACAATTATGAATCAGCATTCCACCATGACATGGGCCCTCATTGGCCATGTCATGGTTACTGACAGAACTCTCCTTTATTCATTAAGAGCTTAACCCTTACAGATCTAAGCACAAAGCTTCAGATCTAGTCCTTCTCAATGACTTAATGGATAAAGTTTCCAACTTTTTGTT